AGGCCTCTTTTTATTGCATCTAATTCCCCTTGTCTTTAAGTTTATTTATTTGTTGTTAACGTGAGCATTCTCATGTTTATTGTTTAGACTGTATGCATCTGCTGTGTCCATTTACTAGCAATTTATTTGTCTTTAAAGTGCACAATTTTAAAGTATAGCATGTAGTTGGGCTTTTTTCCCCTTTTGGGTTCACTTGATAATACCTCAGCTCAAGCACAACACAACTGTTTAGTTAGCTTCTGTTGTGATTACTGTGGACTTGAGTCTGTTGTCCCCTTTCCTCTGGATTATTAGACAATTGTAAATCTACTTGGTGAGATGTTGGTTATACATTTGTATGTGTGTGTGTGGTTGCATTATGCATTACACAGTGTACTGGACATGCTTCATACTCCCTGTTGTGTTAATGTGGTGTCTCTTCATGAGAGAGGTCAGAACTTTGGCATTGCAAGGGCCTTCTTAGAGAAGGGTAACTCCTTCAAAAGCAGAGCTCATCTCAAAGGCCTCTTTTCCACATCTGACTTCCAAGACTGAGTTAAATGTTTCTTTGTTCTCTGAGCAGACAGCATGCTTCTTTGGGGTATATACTACACCTGCCGTTTGCCTACAGTGGATCCTCTAGCCTTTAGTTCAGTGCCGTATTTATAATTACTTGTTGATTGAATGGGGGGGGGCGCTGAACTATAGCTTGTGAAATTCAAAAGATTTCACAATACAATAGTAAGGGGTGGAGCAGTGGAAGTGGCATGATGTAGGCATATAGGTTAAAATGCATAAAATTGTCAAGTAGATTAAATGCAAGTTAAAATATTAAAAAATAGGGCAATTAATAACGGATCAGGCACTGTGCTAAATGCTGCAACATTTTGTCTTATGTGACTTTGGCCCTGTAAGTTATTCCTGTTTCCTTTGAAACAAAGAGATGAGCTATAGAGAGGTCTGTTAATTGGTCCTGTTAATTGGTTAGTACTGTGTGTGAGCTCTGCCTTCTAACAAAGATCTATAAGATGCTATCATACAGAGTACCAGCCAGCCTGGACCACGGGTCTTCATTGAGGCTTTGCAGTTTCAGTCATAGCGAAGTGCTTTGATTTGTGCCCAGATACTGGTAGAGAAAAGGCCTTCAGCATTATTTATGATTTGTATAGAATTATGCTAGGTTCTTCTTTGTGGTCTTTGGAGGGTAGAAAAGAGAAAGCCCACTGGATAAGGCCGTGCAGATAAGGAAACTATTTCAGGAAGACTCAGTACAGCTAGGAGGTAGGCAGGACAGAAGCAAGATGAGTACCAGGCAGTAGCTGGACCTTACATTCCTTAGAATACTTCAAAGGAAGGAGTGTCGGAAGCATTCTGATTAATGATGACATATGGGAGTGAGAGATTCTTCCTTAATGTTTAAGGTCATTTATACTGTCAACTTTGTGCGTTGCCCAATGACTTTAAACTCTGACTATAATGAGGGTTACCGTTCCATCTCTAGGTATGCACATCATATCATGCAGTCATGGATATTAGCTTTTTCTAACAGGGGTCAGCAGGTAACTTCTAAAATCTGAGAGAATGCTTTTTGGAGAGAGGTACAGACCAGGGAAAGTAATTATAAAACTGTTTACAAAACTTTGTTTTGGTAAGATATGGGTTAACCAGTCTCCCTGGGTAGCAGTTAAAGGGACAGTTTTCTGCTTTTCTGTTGTCTTTATCCCCTCTGGAGATTTTGTTTCAGTTCCTTAAATGGTCCCTAAGTTCGTTAGAGGACTAGGCGATCAAGACCATCGTGAGTGTCTGCATGGCGCTGTGTAGTAGATGGTGAGTTTGGGAAAAGGATAAGAATGGGTGTGTGCATGTGCACATGTGTTTGTGTGCTATTTCTTGATCTGCCGTTCCCGCGGTCTTTGAATATGTGCTAAGCTGGGCCTTTTTGTTTTGTTTCTTGGGTGAGAAAGAGCTTAAGTAGTTTCCAGACTGGCATCAAAATATGTTCATCTCTCCAAAGACATCCTTTTTTACTTAAAAAAATGTGTATGTGTGCGCGCGCACACACACACACACCCTGTGCCACACATGTAGAGGCCGAAAGGTAGCTCTTGGGAGTTGGTTCTCTCCTGCTACCATGTGGATCCTGAGGATCGAGCTCAGACTGTTATAGGTCTGCATCTAAGGAGCCATCTCACTGGCCTTGATGAAATAATCTTATTGAAATGAAAAGATTGCTTTTAGAGTGATCCAGAAAAATGGTAACTTCAGTGTAAATATGTGAGATTTTATGGCTGCATTAGGAGTCCCTAATATCTGATTTTTCTGTCTATATAGAATATATTTTGAAAGTGTATAGAAGAGTATAAACACTAGCTTTCTCTGTTAACATGGGACTCACTAGACTTTTGCTTTGTTTTTGCTTTTGCTATTGTTTTTTCTTTCTTTATTCCTAAATTTGCTTTAAGGCTCCTGCTATATTTTCTTGTTTGATACCAGATATCAGCATGTAGCACAGGCTGGGACTAAGGTTGCTCTTGCCTTTGGCCCTGAAATGCTGGGGTTTTTCTTGCCACAGAAGGCTTGTATTTTAGTTGAAGCCAATGGGAAGGAGTATAGGAGCCCTCCTTTCTCCACATTCTGGCTACTTTTGGGGTAACTTTGTTACCTACCCATAGAAGTTCCATATATGAACAAAATGGTATGGCTAATGCTTTCTTGGACTGCAAGATAATGGCTGTGATCTTTCTCCTTGTCTTTGCAAGGAAAATCATTGTAACAGTTGATGGTTGTTATTCATCTATTTAGAAAAGTCTTTGAAGAGGTTCAAGGCTCACAGGGAGGTAGCTATTTGTGTCCCTTAGAGATAGCTCTGGCTTGGCAGTGTGGAAGCATTCCGTTCCAAAATTTGGACTCTTTTCTAATTATACCTAATTAATCTTGGCAAAGCTTGCAGAACATAGAAGCTTCTTGTCTGAATGCATGTAACACATACCTTCTTTCGTCTAAATCACTTAAAGCTGCCTAATGCTCCCACTACCCTAACCTGGGTTCTCAAAGTTTGATCTACAGACATCTTCAGGTTGGAGTTGATGATTTTCCTTTAAAGGGGTCGTATATAGGTGTAGCATTGTAGTTTGAGAAATGTTGTCAACAGTTGTAAAGTGTGAGTCTTGTTAATAGCTCATTGTTTGGATTTTTGCCATCAGGGTTTGTTCCTTTCAGGTACTTCAGAAAAGAGACCGTCTGTGCACAGTTTGCTTGTGATGCTTTTCATGCTCTTCGTTTTTTACCTGTTTTTGTAGTAACCTCACTTGAGGTGGCTATACTCAAAGGGGGTGGGGTCTAAGAGAGTGGTGTCAGTTGTAAGTAGAAAGTAAAGAAGACTGTAAAATCAACTAATCTCAAATGCCTAGTATTTCTTCTTGAGCTTTAAGTCACAACCCTTGCGAGTAAAAAATATGCTGCCGCTTAGTGTTTCTCTCAACACTTTAGTGGCAAATCACAGGCAAATGCACACCAAGTTTTCCTATGATACTCTCCTATCATAGGAAATTGTGATTGCACCCCTGCTGTTTTAGACACTAAGACTACAGAAACTTCTGTTATTTGCTTCTTGAGGTTGATCAAAAATCTTCCTGACTTAAAATATACATTATACTTTTGTCTTAAAAATTTAAATAGTTAATTTGAAAGTAGGTGATCAGTTTGAGATGTCTTTGGATAAGGTTGAGACATCTGTCTTCTGTGTGGATCCCTCTGCTAAGTGGTCACCACAGCGGAGAGGAGACTTGAGTCCCACAGAGCTATATTCCATGTATTGGGATCTTTTGAACGTAGCCAGAGCAGCGGCCTGCCAAGATGCTCATGGCATGGTGTGTTCTAGCAGATTGGGGTCCTTAGCCAAGGTGACCATTTTTGACTGATCACAGCAGCTCTTGGAACAGTTTTTCTGTTTCTCGTTTGCAGCAGGTGCCTGCCATTCTTCCTTTTGTGCTGTGGTGACCATCAGCCCAGTTCACTGAGACTATCTCTTGCCTCATTTCCTCCAGCTGCTTTTTCCCATTATGTATTTTCTAGCTCTGACTTAGTCTATAACAGTGATAATCCCTGCAGAGCAAGGAGGTTAAATTTTGTTTTTCATTCCAGGCTATTAGCCAGGCATGGTGGCTCAGGCCTTAGTGTCAACACTGCCTCAGGAGGCAGAGGCAGGCTGGCTGATCTCTTGAGTTCATGGCTAGCCTGGTCTGCAGAGTGAATTCCAGGACAGGCAGGGCTATATAGAAAAACCCTGTCTTGAAAAACCAAAATCAACACAAGCATAGTAATAGTAGTAGTAGTAATAGTAATAATAATAATAATCATTATTCCAGGCTATTTTTTTGGTGTGTTATAACTTTGGAAAAGTGTTCTCACATCTATTCAGGAGGTCATTTTAAGGACTGTAGGAATAGCATTGTATTTTTAGACTACATTTTCATGTGACATTTGTTCTTGGTGTCACGGAAACGTTGCTTTGTAATGTAGGATCATCCTAAGGATAATATTTCAGTGCTGGCTTTGCCCAGATGATGCACTAGCATAGTACGTGCCACTTTTCTTACCTGTGGAATGGATTTGACTGTATGTTTGTCAGTTTTCTCTGTCCTTTCTTAAGTCCAGGACTCCATCCCCTGGGATGGTATCACCACAGTCAGGGGGAATCCTACCTGATCAGTGAAACTTCCCTAAGGATCCTGTACGAGAAACACCCAGAGATGTGTTTCCATGGTGATTTTAATCCTTCCAAGATGGCAGTCAAGACTGACTCAGTGGAGATAACCTCTATGCCCTGCACATTTTCAACATTATCTTCATCTTTCATGTATGCGTTGGTTTTTAAATAGGTTTCTGCCTTCTTGGTTATTGTCCTCTGAACTGCTTTCTCTTATAGACAACAGTGAACTTAGTTATTACTCAGGCTGCAGTGTCTGGATTACCTTCAGGTGTTTCTGTTCTCTGCTTAATCAATATGTTCTCTTGAACAGGATGAACTTACAGCCGTGAATGTAAAGCAGGGATTCAACAACCAGCCAGCCTTCACTGGAGATGAACATGGCTCAGCCAGAAACATTGTAATCAACCCATCCAAGGTAATGCTGATTGTTTTCTGTAGTTCCTGAAAAGGTATGTTTGTGATGCCCTTGACGTAGATACATCGATTTAAGCTGTATTCCCAGTTCAACATTTCCTCATGTTTGCAAACCGTGAAGCACATAAGTTTTTTTTCTTTTTTTGTTTTTTTGTTTCCCAAGACAGGGTTTCTCTGTGCAGCCCTGGCTGTCCTGGAACTCACTTTGTAGACCAGGCTGGCCTCAAACTCAGAAATCCACCTGCCTCTGCCTCCCAAGTGCTGGGATTAAAGGTGTGCGCCACCACTGCCCAGCCAGCACACAAGGTTTTAAGTGTCGGGCATTTCATTCTGAGACCACTATAGTGTCCGTTTCCACCTTCTATTTATTTTTTATGAATTTACAACTGCCATTATAGAAGAGTCTGGGCCAGTTTTATACTATTGCTACAGTATAGATTTATTTTATTTTCCTATAACAGTTCAGGTTTACTGTTTTTGCTAAGAATATATTCATCACTTTATGTCGGGAAGAATGCAAGGCCAATTTGCCCAATTGTTGATTACACTGAGTTGTCATTCAGTCATTCTGATGCCCACTGTCTTCCTACAGTATAAAAATAGCAACCTCTTCTTCTTAGTAATCTCTAATTACTACAATTTTTTAAAAATCATACTCAGAATTATCATATCTCCTCACAGTTGATAATTTAAAAATAATATAAATTTCTTATTCTTCAATAAATTTCACACAAGAATTTGATGTTTTTCTTCACTCTACTTGCCCCTTCTTTATTTCTTTTGACAGAGTCTCTCCAGGTATCCTGGCCTGGATCTTGCTATTAAGCTCAGATTGGCCTTGAATTTGCAGCCACCTTCTTGCCCCTGTCTTTTGTGTGCTGACATGACAGGCATGCCTAGCTCTGATGGTTCTTGCTGAACAGTTTGTTGTGCTTGGAGCTGACATGTTTTTCTGCTTATCATTCCTCATACATGTGTTAGCTTCAGCTCAGTGTGGGGAGCCCCCTTTACACTTCATTTTTTTTTTTCTGTGTCACCCTGGATTACTTCAGTGTCACTCATAGGCTCCTGTTTTTGTTTTATATGTGCCGTGATTTAGTCCCTTCACTTTTCTTTTGGGTGTGTGGGCAGCCAATATTTGGTTGGAAAGGGCCTCTTAAACCCTGGTGAAGCATCCCCACCAATCTTCCTGTGTACAGCATCGTCCAGACTCATCGCGTTCTCTCTGTCTGCCGCTGGGCGCTAGCCATGCTCAGCAGTTCTGGAGTATCATTAGCTCTAGGTCTTCCCAGTGGACAGAGAGGACAAACGCTTCTCTTGTCTAGCTCGCCTTTTTCTCTACCTGCCGGTTGTTAGCATTTCCAGCTGCACATCGCATCGTATTTCCTTATCTTTTTCTGTTTGGTCTTTGTGTCTTCCTTCCCCTGAAGTGAGAACTGCTCTCTGCAATATCAGCAGAGTTTGCTGTGTGTTTACAGCACATGCAAATTGTTTCTCAGTAAATTCACTCAGTGTCACCACAACAAATAAGTTTCTGTATAAGATTTTTCTACAGTTCCTTTGTCCTTAACCAACTTTCATTAAAAATGTATAGTCAGAGTTGGAGGGAAGGGGCTTGGGAGGAGACTGGAGGAAGGGAAGAGAGGGAAGAAGTGATTAATTATATTTTAATTAAAAATGTAGAAAGATTTATAGTCAGACTATTATGTTTAGAGGTTTATTGAATTAAACATCTTTCCCATGGATCCTTTACACACACACACACACACACACACACACACACACACACACACACACACAAACACAGATTCTTACTCTCTTACTCATTTTCTTTTAATGATTTATTCTTCTTTGATATTGAAACCATCACAAATAAAAGTAAGAAATAAAAAAAAATCAAGTCAATATCTATACTTCCCTTCTTTCTCAAAAACACACAAATAATTGACTGTTTGCTAAACCATTGGTGGAAATACCGTTGATTTGTATATAATGCTGTTGACTAGATACAGCGATAGTTTTAAATTTAACCTTACCTTTTTGCAATCTTTATACACTTCATGTTACAACTACAGTTCTGTATTTGTGATTAATATAGAGTTGTATATATGTAATTCGGTATACATAATGTCTGTCAGTTAACCATATCTTAGTGCTTAGATCTTGGGCAGTGCATACATTCACATTACTATAGAACCATCTCCCTACTGCCTGTCCCCAGAACATTTTCATCTTTGTCAAGTGATCTGCTTCCATGTCCTACATGGCTTGGCCCTGGACACCCGAATGGGTCAATTTGGGATTGAAGAAATAATATACATTGAAGAAATGACAGGGACACATATAGAAAACCTGGGATCAGGTGGGCTGTGCTGGCTTTAATGGAAGACACTTCCCACAACCTGGAAATTCTGTGTTTTATTACATACAGCAGAAGGAGGAGGGGCAGCTAGTCTGGCCAGTAGTAGGTCTCTCTAGAGGAACAGTTTCAGTCTGCAAAGATTTGAGAGAAGAAAATTACCATCTGCTTCCTGTACATATTGCTTGCTTCTCCTTAAAAGCCCTGTCTTTACAAAATGTGAGACCTTGCCCCAACTAGAAAGGAGAGATTTGTCTCCTGGAATTTGCCCTCTGACCTCCACATGCTCTGGCATGGATGTTCTGGACACCCCTACCCCTGCCCCATATATACATATACATCCTATCTCTTAATACATGCAAATAATAATAAAATTACAAAGAGAAAATAAAAGCCTCTTATCATATATAGTAATATATGGGTTAGGGTTTCAATGTATGGATTTTGAGCATTCAGAGTCTAGTTTATGTCAGAGAGTAGGTTTTTTTTTTTGTTTGTTTGTTTTTTGTTTTGGTTTTTCGAGACAGGGTTTCTCTGTGTAGTCCTGGCTGTCCTGGAACTCACTCTGTAGACCAGGCTAGCCTCGAACTCTCGAACTCAGAAATCCGCCTGCCTCTGCCTCCCAAGTGCTGGGATTAAAGGCGTGCGCCACCACCACCGCCCTGCTATGTTTGTTTGTTTTAAATGTGTTATAAATGCTCAGTTTTTGGTTCTTAGTGTCAAATTTTATGCTAATTTAGATAACCAAGTTAACAAAAATAACTTATTACAACTTGGACTACCTTTTCTGTGAGATGTATTTAAGGCCCTAATATTTCTTATGTGAACTTGATTTCATTAACATGAAATGTATGAATCTTAGTGTTTAACACCTGACCTTTTCTATTCTTATCAACCGAGCTATTATCTTAATAGTTCTGGGTAGATAAAAACAAGTGCTGAATTAACCTTCTTCCATTTTGTTTGAAAGAATATAAGTTGTTATTAGACTTTTGAAGGATGATATAGCAGTATAATTAAAATTGCAGAACTATGCTATCCAAATTATAGAAATTTATCATATACCTGCATGGAAATAATGTGAAAGGTTTTTCAATTTAACAGAATTCATAACACTAATGTTCAGAACCCATGCTCAAGGTGCCTGTTAATATTCTCCTGATTAAGTAAAGGACAGCATATCCTTGCAGAACACTATTGTGTAGCTATACAAATGAATGAATTCAATATATAGGCATGAAGTACTCATACTTAACTGCATATGAGCCAGATATGCCCAAAAGGAAAATATCATGTATGTCTTTGCTTGTGTGTGTTTTAAGCAACATTAGAATCACATTGATTATTTGGAGGTAGAAATTAGGTTTTGGGAGTGAGGCTTTAAAAAGCATATCTTCTGATTTTTGAATATATTGCCATTAGAAGCAAACTAAGCACTGCTCCAGGTCAGTGACATATCTGTAATCCTAGCACTTGGGGTGGATTGATGCAGGGACGTCATGTGTCCCAGGCCTCCTCTGTGAAACCACTCTTAAAACAATTTTTTAATGCTATATGGTTTTGACAATTTTTTGATTCTTAGTGTGCATTTCTTTGGTCTTGCTTACTTAGGAATTTTGACTTTGTTTTGTTTACAGGATTTGTTTACAAGATTCACTAAGGAGAACTCTAAGACTTATGTATCCAGTTGTTCCATTATTTACAGGGTACACTGATTCCTTAGAATAGTTTTCATTTTTATAGCCCTGTTTATTATAATTAATATACTTACTCATAATTGCAACCTAGAGCTTTCTCTAATATACAATAGTATATGCTGTTAGCTGTTTAGTGCCTTTGGTAGAAAGACCAAATATCAATTGAGAAATTTAAAATCAAACATTTTGCTGCTAGTGACTGCTTGTTTACAAACTTTGTCATCAGAGATGTACTGCCCTGTTCTGCATGGCTTGGTGCTGAGCCAACTTGGGAATGATGTTCTCAAGCTGTATCTTCTAGTTAATTTATTCGCAGAATAATATAGCTTCTACTTAATTTATCTGTATAGCTATAGCTTCTACCTAATTTATCCACAGAAAATTCTAGAAACATTTGACTTAAAGAAAAAAACTTCAGTGAAGTTTGTTTAAAAACAAAAAACTGATATCTAGGGTTTTTTAAAATTTTTTTTATTACTTTAGCTTTTGTTAGTCAATATTGTACTTCTGTGAAGAGACATCATGACCAAGCCAGCTCTTATAAAAGGAAGTATTTGATTGAGGGGTTGCTTACAGTTTTAGAGGTTGAGTCCATTAGAAACAATGGCAGGGAGCATGGGGCATGTAGGCAGGCACTGGAGCAGTAGCTGAGAGATGAGCCATAGGACTCTTTACAACTTAGGACATGGGCTTAGAACATGGGCTTTTTACAACTTTAAAGCACACCCCCAGTGACACACTTCATCTAACAAGGCCACGCCTCCTAATTCTTCTAATCCTTTCAAATAGTGCTACTTCCTGATGACTCTTTTATATGATATTTAAATATATGAGCCTATGGGAACATTCTTATTCACACTACCACAGGGTTTTTGTTTTTAAGATTCATTTATTTATTTTATGTATATAAGTACACGATTGCTCTCTTCAGACACACCAGAAGAGGGCATCACACCTCCATTGCAGATGGTTGTAAGCCTCCATGTGGTTGCTGGGAATTGAACTTAGGACCTCTAGAAGAACAGTCAGTGCTCTTAACTACTGAACATCTCTCCAGCCCATTACCATAGAGTTTTATTTCCGCTTTTCAGTTCAGAGAATTTTAGTTCATATTTAAAAAAAAAAAAGTTGTACCAGCTTTTTGTCTCGAGGATAAACTTGACTAATAGCTCCCATCAGATCAGGCCAGACTATGCACAGGGCATCTGCTACCTCCAACTTTTAACGAAGGTGGGATTTCTACTTTTTGGTTTTCTAGGGGAGCGTTTTAATTTACATAAGTTGCTACTGTTTGCTAACTATTGGTGATACTTCTTAGAAATGGTTTGCATTGTATAACTGAAAGGTTCTCAGGGAACAAATGTGATACTTTCTGGATTCTTGAAAACCCTTATCAGGTTTCCTGTCCACTGGCTCTCTTCTCTCCTGCCCAGCCTGTATCCCTTCTGGCTCTTCGCTTCTCCCTCATCTCTCCTTTTGCCTGTCTTATACTTGGGATAACATGAAATGAGGAAATAGTTGGCAGACGCCTGCCTCTCTGCATTCAGACTTAGTGACACACCTTCCCTGAGCTCTTTTTCCTCCTTCCCCTTATGCTTATAAACTTGGCAGTTCAATCAAAATGCTGAGTACTTAATTTATTCCTTTTGTAATTGTTCTTTTTTTTTTTGTTTGTTTGTTTTTTTCGAGGCAGGGTTTCTCTGTGTAGCTCTAGCTGTCCTGGAACTCACTCTGTAGACCATGCTGGTCTCGAACTTAGAAATCTGCCTGCCTCTGCCTCCCAAGTGTTGGGATTAAAGGCGTGCGCCACCACCGCCCGGCTGTAATTATTCTTTTAAATATATTTCTCTAGATTCTTGAAGAAAGTAATATCAAATGTAAACACAGAATTTTGTTTCTAAAAGCAGGTGCTATTAAGACAAAACAAGGATAAGAGTGGTTTCTGTGGCCCCCAGGCTCTGTCCCCTTCAGTGTACCCTTGTGAGAGAGCACATTCTCTCACGTGCAGTACGGCAAAGGAGAGTGCAGCTAAGTTTCGAGCACAGCCCATTCTGAAATTTACCCTGATGGAGTTATCTTCACATTACCAGAGATTTCCAGTGCTTCTCTTTTCCTAATTTCTTGGGGACAGAGGAGCAAAGGAGGGAGGTTTTCATTTTATTACTGGACATAAATCACACTTTGAGGCTTAAAGACTTACTATATTATGGAAATCACAGTTGTTAAGCTTCAAAGATAAAAATTTTCATCTTCTCTGATGGGCTGTATCAAAACTAAGGCAGTTGCACATGGTCTTTAAACACTGTCTTGCTTCCATTTCCTTTTGCAGATCGGTGCGTATTTCAGCAGCATATTGGCCGAGAAACTGAAGCTTAACACTTTCCAGGACACCGGAAAGAAGAAACCCCAAGTTAATGCTAAAGATAATTACTGGCTGGTCACTGCTCGATCACAGAGTGCCATTCATAGTTGGTTCTCTGACCTAGCAGGGAATAAACCATTTGCTATCTTGGCAAAAAAGGTATCAATTATTTTCTTCTATTGTTAGAGTTATAGTTTTATAAATGAAGCTGTTTGAGATAATGTTCGCATGTACACTTAATTTTTTACGTATTCTTTTTTAAACCAATGGTTCAGTTGTAGGTACACATGTCCAGATAGTTCTGTTCTTATGTTCTTTCCTCTGTGTTTTGATCACAGGGAGTGTTGTGTGCATCTAAAAACCTCAGGGATCTGCATAAAGGCAGTTTTTGCTGACTTAGATATACCTTAAAATTTAAGAGTAGGTAATAAGGCTTCATTTTTCCTCCATAACACTTTCACTTTTCTCAGATCAAGATACAGTACAAAGAAAAGATCCCTGCTTTAAGATTATTCCCATGTCTGTCAAAATACCCATCCTTACACATATACATGTACACACACACACACACACACACACACACACACACACACACACTATCTTTAGGCCAAGTTAAGTCTTAACTGCCAAGCAAGACAAAGATTTTTTTATTGCGTGTACTTGTGTTATAAAAAGGTGTTTAAAACAAAACAGGAATATTTGTTTATAATCTTCAGGTTTTTTGGCAATTGTGTAGGGGGTGGTATGAGGTTCTTTTAAAATCTTTACTTTTAGTAATTTCCTTCAGTGGGAATAATCAGTATATAGGCTCAATAATCTTGTAGTCTAAACAACATAAGATGTCCTTTGAAAGTTTATAGTAAAGTTAGAAAAATTTCCCTTAGTCTTTATCTCCGACTTCTTGTATACCTTTGTAATAATTCCAGGTATCTCTTCTTTTCTCCCCTGAAGTCCCTTAGTTCTAGGGACTCTGTCTTCAGTTCTAAGTATGCAGTGTTCATTTCCACCTTGTGTGGATCCAGCTCCAAAGACAATGCCTTCATATACTTGTGTGTTTGCTTTTGAAAGCAACTCTTTGAAAATAGTGTCTTCATCTTCCATTTGCTTTAATTTGCTATATGTCTTGACACTGCATGCCTCACATAGACAGATAGATAGACAGACAGACAGACAGACAGACAGACAGACAAAGATGAAAGGCACCTGCAGTCTTTGAAGAACACTTGTCTAAGTGTGACCAACTCTTCCCAGAGTTAGTGCCACTGTTTCCACCTGCCCAAACCACAGAGCTGGAACACTTCATCCCCAGTATTAATATCTGTTTGTGGTCTCTCTGTGGCCCATGGATTGATTGTATCTGAAGGCCATGTAAGCCGTAGAGCATCCTTCAGAGTTTGATGGCTTTTGAACACCAATTCATATCGCTGTGCTGTCAGCTAGGTGTTCCTTAAAGTTTTACTTTGTTACAAGCTCTAAGAATACTTCTTGGATACTCTCTTAAAGTGACTATTGGTAAGGAATTGGTTTCCTTGCTTTAAGGGTGTAGGGGTCTCTTATCTTTTAGGAGGGAGATAACTCATGGTGTCCTGTATTAGCCATTGTTCTTCTTTCTTTATTAGGAGCTGCCTCTGGCCAAGTCAGGTGTCCCTCAGGTAAGCCTTGGCATTAATTCTTTGAAAACATAGACATTTCTTTATAAAACATTGACTCTACTTTGATGTGTTCATGTCTTAGGCATTTCAGGAGTCCTTCTTCCCCCTTCTCAGAATTTCATCCTTTTGAGATGGCAAAGGCTCTTGTAGTTTTGGGCAAAGGACCAAATTCTCTATATGGTCTTCATATTCAGCCACTTAATTTCTGATATTCATGTACAAGAAGGCTTAGGAAGGAAACAGTGATTTACTTGCTGTGATCCAGAGTCATCTTCTAGCTCTTACCCAGCTTTCAGAATAGATTTTTATATGGGATAGATTATGTTTCTGACATGGTTTCCCATTAGTATAAAGCCATACAGGAGTCCAGAGGTGTCTGTAAGGACTTGTAATTTAGTCACTGTCATTACTTGCTTTTGAAAAGGAAAATTCTGCCAACCAGGGATATTCTTCTAGTAGTTGGCTAGTTCTTACCTGTTTATGCAGGTGCCCTTGGGTACTGTTGTCTGAGAATTTCCTTTGGTTCTGGTCCTGTTTAGACAATGGAAGATGCTGATGGTGGTGAGCATCCAAGGGGAGAAGATATAATACTATCCTTGTGTATATGGAAGCAGCACACTCTTAGCATCTTAATTGCCTTTGTAGCTCTAGGTCGATGTAGAAACTAAACCAGCGATTGCCAGAATTCCATGTCAAGTTTATGTCAGATGTTTTTCAGAAAAAAAAAAAAAGGTCTATTACTGTTAAAAATAATCATGGGAAACAGCAGTTCCTCCCAAAACTATAGACTGGACAAAACCATCACACATATCTTCTCTCTTAGTCAAGTAACGCTCTTCACATCTGTTTGCTTGGATATCAAAGCCCTGACTTGACTCAACTCAGGATTTTGCTGTTTTGTCCTGTGTTGTTTATGTAAGATCTGTGGCTTGGTTTGGTATGTTATTTTATCAAAACATTTCAAGTTTTCAACTGTTTGCATTTTTCCTCCTAACAGTTGCTGTTTAAATAAATCCTTTGCTCATCTGTGAAAGCTACTATTCGTAAGACTCTTTGGAGATGCTTTTACCTTGAATGAATTTATCTGCATTTTTAGGCAGCAGTCTTGCATCCTTTTGGTGTGTATGAATGAGAGGCAACCTGACATGGGCTGATACAATTTAAACCACTGGCTCCATATTTTATATTTTAGTGAAAAGCATCAGGTCTTGAGCTGAATGTTTGACCCTGTGTTTTTCTTGTCTCTGTCTTGAATGATAGTAGCCACAGACACCGTGTTCCATGAGAGATGTGCCCTGTGTGCTAAACGGGCAGGACATTGTCTCATTAAAATGTATCACTGTGTTGTGCAGAGACGAGGCGTTACAGATTTGGCTCATGTGTCTTCTGCCTCCCTTGAGTTGTTTTGTGCAGTGTCGTTTTCTGTGTCATGAGGGCGATGTTCTGAATTCAGCACCCAAGGCTGCAAGTGTACCTGGATCAAAGAGTCTTCAGTTTTCTGTAAACACAGTGTCAGCACACTGTACTCCATTGACCAAGGCCAGGAAGGGAGGCATTCCTTCAGCATTGAAACAGCTTGATGTTTCTTTGGAAAGGCCAATTGAAATAGCTTGCTCTTAGGGCCTATATTTTTAAGAATCATGTATACTTTTTAATTCCAGGGATCATACTTTGCACTAGGCATGTGAATAGTTAAATTTAAAAATTCACTGACTTGACCAGCTAGTAGAAAAATTCTGTGCTGTATGAATTGCCGGGTTTAAACCTTGACTTTTCAGCCCAAATTCAAGTATGAGTTTTGGGGTAGAGGGATAAGGGTTTGTTGGTATCTGTGGCAGGGTTCCAGTGTCGTCTTTTGAAAGGACCTTAATCTGTGGTATGAAAACACTCAGGCTAGTATAGACAAATTCCTAATCTGACAACAAAGTATTATTGGTATACTTTTGATTGTACCAATAATCAATTCATGTATTTTCTTTTAAAAAATCAGGATAACCACTTCGTGAGGTGCATAGGATTGGTGCATAGGATCCAAATTAATGCTAGGAAGTGGTGGCCTTGACTGGCAAAGCTGAGGGAAGTAGTTGAGCAGTGGTCATCCCACTCTGGTCTATAGCATGTGGGTACCTTACAGTCTTAGTAGTCCCGACCTGCTGCCTTGTCACAAATGGACTCCTGTTCAGTCTTTTCACCATGATCACAAACTAAATAGATGACATAGATGAACAGGCTGTTCATAGGATATTTATGAGGTGTTCTGGAAGAATGAATTAACTCTTTCAAGCCATTCACTGGCATATTGGGATACTAATTTGCTGAATTGCACCTTTGTGGTCTTGAAGAAATAATTAACAGCCTCAAGTGTCTACTTCAGCCAGCAGATTAATTGCCTTGCTATTGTAGCACAGTGTATATTAGGCAGACTCACTGATCCATCATTGTAGGCTCTGCTTAATATTTTGGGCTAAAGAAACTCTCAGAAAGTTTCTGGAAATTGTTGCTTTTGTGAGATGTTGCAGTTAGAAAGCTTCATACAAAAAAAAGTGTCCACAGATAAAATGTAGAATGATGGCAAATTCTTTCTGATCTTTCTCTTCCAATTTTGGGATAAATCATTAAGAAGAGTATCATGAAATTAATTTTCTCTGTTTGTTCATAAGGCAGATTACTTTCCTTATCAGAGAATGTGACAACACTTCATTTTATCAATAAGAAAGCACAGCAGAGAACCAGTTTGCCCTGTGTGCTAAACATAATTTTGATTTTTTGTTTCTCAATGAAAATTGGGTTAAAATTTCTTCCCTCTTTTCAAATTGCATGCAGTCTTTGAAAATCCATTAAACATACTTTCTTATACCAGCATATAGTGTATGCTTGTCATATGTTATTTCTTTTTAGGTCCCCATCCTCAGTAAAAAAGAGGACGTCTTTGCATATTTAGCTAAGTATTCTGTGCCAATGGTTCGAGCAACGTGGCTGATCAAGATGACTTGTGCCTATTATTCTGCTATTTCGGAAGCTAAAATTAAGAAACGCCAGGCTCCAGATCCCAATCTGGGTAAGTGAGCCAGTGGGCAATGTTTTGTATTTCACTATTGGTTCTTTAAATAATTGTTACCTGGATCCTCTTAGCACTCAGCATCCCAGGATGGTGAGGATGGAGAAAATCCCTGGTGCAGCTGACATTCAGCAAGCCATGTTGATAGCTCCAGAATGTACCCTGTTTGAACTCTACTAGCGAAGCTGTGGAGGTGCTGGTCAGACCACCATCATTTCTTGTCTGGAGGAAGCAACCTCTGACTGGCTTTCCTGCATGCTTTTGCTGCAGTAGAGCAGGCCTTAAGTCTGAGTAGACAGCTATTGCTTACCCCCTACTCCCCTATGCTCACTCCCTCTTTTCTGGTCAGTACCAATGCCTTTGTCTGTGTTATGACAGTGGATACCAGGTAATCTTGCTATTTCAACACGGCTTTCTGCATTGTAGCTGAAGTGATCCTATTAGAACAGAAGTCACGCCAGTCCTGTGCTCAGAATCCTTTTATGACTAGCTGCCCTGCTCACCTGCCACCTGCTCTGGCCAATACCAGCAGCCTGCATGATTTTTTTTTTTTTTTTTTTTTTGACTTTAAGCCTTACCATATGCAGGTAGACACTGCTTTCCTTCCCTGGTATAGATGCCTAAGTTTGTGTGCTCCTGGCCACACTGTGGTACTGCTCAGTGAAAGCTGGGACCACTCTGGATAAAATCGCTGTTGCCTTGTTCTTTATTTGATTTGCAGTTGTTAACACTACCCATTATATTAACTTACTGGTTATCTATATTCACATACCCAAACTGTACAATAAGGCTGCGCTGACATTTTGTGTGGTTGTAGACTGGATTTCTTCTTGAGTTCCTCAGTGCTGGTCTCTCAGGGTAGTACCTCGATTACAGAAATTGTTCAGTCATTTTTAAAACACAGAAATGAATAACAAGGCCAGAAGCATTTGTGTTTGCATATGTATGATGTAATTTTGTGTGTGTATGTATATTTTAAGAATTTCACCAATTCATAATCCTTTAAACTCTCAGCATCACTAGCTGCTGAGAGTACTCTGTTCTTTAGGTGTGCACACATGCACAATATTCATTTATTGTTGTTTGTTCTTACCAATATTTTCTTTGATGTTCAGTTTAATTTTAAAACTGATAAATGTATGAAAGCGGTGCCTGGGTAGCTCAGTTGGCAGAACCTGGGACTTAAGTACAAAACACTATGCAGAAATTAGTCTCCTAGCTGCATCTCAGAACAATTTTAGATTAAGAGTTGCCTTTAAAAAAAAAAGTTGCCCTTATCCTAGATTTGAGTGCATTACCATGGAATGCAAGACACTTCACCAAGTGAAGGGAAGTGTCTTTCCTAGTGGAGACCATGGTGGGTTTCTTGTTGTGTTCATCTCTTACCATTAGTGCCTCCCCTTATCCCTAGCATCAGATGGTTTGAGGAGGTGTGTTCTTCCTGCCTCAGAGTTAAAATTTCCATTACTTGTGTATTTATAAAAGCTTGTCTGTTGGATTCACTCACTAGTTGTATTTTTCTGTCCTTTCATAGGCAACATAGCACATACTATAATTTATCTTTTGATTAAGTCTACAGAGCATTTCAAGTCTTTATGATTCCTGTTATACATGTAAAACCTTTAGTGTTTAAATCATCGAAAGTTGGGTACCTTCTGTACTCTTTCTCAAGATAGCACATACAGGCTTGGAATCTGAAAAATGCTGAAGTCTGAAGTTAAAAACAACTTAGAATTGTCTAAATTTTAGGAATTTGCTTATAACCTCTTAGGTTAGTGGTTCTCAACCTTCCTGATACTGCAACCCTTTATTACAGTTCCTTATGTTGTAGTGACCCCTCATCATAAAATTATTTTGTTACTTCCTAACTGTGTTATTGCTACTGTTATGAATTGTAATGTAAATATCTAATATACAGGATATCTGATATGTAACCCCTGTGAAAGGGTTATTTGATCCTCCACAAGGAAGTTGCAACCCAGAGGTTGAGAACCTACCACTATCTGAGGAGGCCTTGCATCTGACAGTTTTGTGTGTTATCTTCCAACTCTGCCAGTACATGGCTGAGGGGCAGGGGAGTCATTCTCTTTTCCACGTCCTGCTCTTCTGTAACATCTGTTTTTAGTTGTTTTAAACAAGGGATAGCTCTTAATCCTTTCCTTTCCTTGACTGATACTTCTGAAAGGGGCAAATTTTATTTTAGAGTGGTCCCCCATTTCCCTTTTTCTAATTTCTCAAGATGAGATGGTGATTGTTCTAGATGTTGGGAATATCACATAAGCAATTGTTCTGGTTAGTTTTATGCCAGCTTGACTCAAGCTAGAGTCATTTGGGAAGCGAGAACCTCAACTGAGGAAGTGCCCTACTACATTAGTCTGCAGTGCATTTTCTTGATTGATGGTTGATAAGGAAGGGCCCGGTTTACTGTGGTAGTTCCACTCCTGCTCTGAGGGTCCTGGTGCTGTGAGAAAGATTGAGCAAGGCAGTAAGCAGCACTCCTCCATGGCCTCTGGCATCAGCTTCTTCCTCCAGGTTCCTGCCTTGTTTGAGTTCCTGCTCAGACTTCCTTCAGTTTTGAAATGCATTCCACGACTGAACTGTGGGACTGTAGAGCTATAAATTGAAATAAACCCTTTACCTGCCATGCTGTTTTGGTTATGTAGAAACCTGATTAAGACAGCAATTATGTGACCATCTTGGCATGTCATATAATATTATGAGGTGGTAGCTGCCACATTTCTGTACTAAAAGATTACTATCTCACCCTTTCTATTAGTTATTGAGTAATTTAACTCTATAACTACTATTTTTTTTTTTTTAAATCCTATCACTCCTCCTTGAGGCAGGTCTGACTATATAGCCTAGGCTGGCCTCATACTTGTCTTAGCCTCCTGAATTCTAGGACTACAGGCATGTGAGACCAAGCCTAGCTTTCTATATTCTTACATGTGTTTCATTTTATTATTATTACTTTTAATTTATTTATTTAATTGTTTTTCTTATTACAAAGTTTGGCCAGTTATGTTGAGCCATAACTTTAATCCTAGCACTCAGAAGCAGAGACAGAGACTGATAGTTTGAGGCTAGATTGGTCCACTGAGGGAGTTCCAAACTAACCACAGCTACATCTAAAAAATTGGGGGCCAGAGAGAGGTCTCAGTGGTTAACATTACTGGATGCTCTTAAAGAGAGCCTGGGGTTTCATTCCCAGCACCCATATGGAGGGTCACAATAGCCTATAACTTAGTGCTAAAGGACTTAGCACCCTCTTCTGTCCTGAGGGCACCGTACACTGCATGCAAGACACCCCCATGCATATAACATTATTAATTAGTAAAAATGTTACAAGCCCCCAATATCAGAGTCAGTAAAGATTCATATCAGAGTGGTTTCAATATTTGATGTAGGACCACTGGATGTTTGAGCTTCCTGGATTCTTTAAACTTCTGGGTCCACCCAAGGCATATTGAACTAGAAAGGAAAAACCAAGATGAAACTTTTTATGAGTCCATTGTAAATATAATGTATATACTAAATTAATGTAGTAGTCCAGTAAGATGCCATTATGGTCTTTAAGGTAATGTAGAACTGCTGATGTACATACCAGACGTCTTAGTTCTGTTCTGTTGCTGTGATAACATACCATGACCAAGGCAACTTAGAAAGCATTGGGGAGCATGGCAGCAGCTAGGTAGGCAGGCAGGCAGGCAGGCGTGGTGCTGGAGCAGTAGCTGGATCTTATGTGTTAAGACAACTACAAGGCAGAGATGGCAGCTGGGGGTCAGGCATGAAGCAGAGAGTGAGAACATCATAATTGGGAATGGCATGGACTTTTAAACATCAAAGCCCACCTCCAGTGACACACCTTCTCTCACAAAGTCACAACTCCTAATCCTCCCCAAACTGTACCACCAACCACGGAACAAGCATTCAAACGTGGGCCTATGGAGGCCGTTCTTACTCAGGCCACCAGAACATACAAAACATACGCTCTATTTGCATGCTGTTGTCTTCCCCATCACGTACATTAAATACAAGGATTTTCAAGTTCAAGACCCCTGTCAACCTATTCCCTCACACGCTTTGGTGGGTTTCCATGTCCAGTGCACATGGCTGGGTTGCTAAAAACCCCTTTGCCCCCTCGGAGGGCAGCCACAGTTAATGCTGATTCCACCTGTGTAAGGACAGACCATGCAAGCAGCATCAAACTAAGTCCTGCGCCACAGCAGCACACTGTTTGTGGTGAATTCAATCTCTGGCTTTTGAAACATCTGATACAGTTCATGGCAATGAGTGAACAACGTAGATCCCAACAGTATTTTTTTTAATGACCGTTCTAAAATCCAGTCTGTGAGAATAGAAGCTGGAATAGCATCCTATTGAGGCACAGCCTTTTAACCAGCTTGCCAGGAAGAAATTTTCTTTCTTGACACATAGGTTTTGTGGAGTCATTCCTTATGTACAGAGATGAGTTTCAAATCTGGGTAGTTATGAATATTTATGGAGGTTTAAAAAGAGCTTAGGGCATCGTTTAACCAATTTTCACCCCAAGCATGTTCTTTCTGCTTCTATGCCTGATTGCAACTCAACAAATGGAACAGACAGATAAAGTAGGTAGAGGCTAACTCCTGTGTGCTAGGTGTTGGGGCCACAGCAAAGTCCTGTGTACTGGGTGTGGGGGTCACAGCTAAGTCCTGTGATCTGGGTGTGGGGGTCACAGGTAACTATTGCTGGGTGTGGGGGCCCCAGCTAAGTCCTGTGTGCTGGGTGTGGGGGTCACAGCTAACTCCCGTGTGCTAGGTGTGGGGGCCCACAGCTCACTCCTTTGTGCTTGGTATAGGGGCCCACAGCTCACTCCTGTGTTGTAACTTTAATTTTTTCAAATCCTATTTTTAATGAGGGTTCTTAAATGCTTTAGCCTTCGTAGTAACCAGCCACCCACCGGAGGTAGTGGAAAAGAAAGGATACAGGGTCGGGGGAAGTGGACCTGTTTAGAAAGG